AAACCAGTAAAAGGCCCTAAGAAATTGTGGCACTCCTAACACTAATCGAGTAATTTAAACGAAATTGACTCAAATTTGATATGTTTGCCAGTGCGTGCCTACTTCGATATCATACATACTCTGATAAACAAAAACTACTTGAATTAAAACCGCCTGCACCCTCATGTTCAGTTGCACTGCTGTCAAGTATAAAGTTCCCACCTCTTGCTCGGTCTGGCCCCAAATGACGAAATGTTTGTTAGGAAATTACATTTGCATTGATTTATGTCAACTAGATGTGATCATTTTAACGGCCAACAGTTAAAAGGTTCTAAATCGTGCGGGATGTTTAATGTCGATTCACTGACATTTTGCTATACTACATAAGCGTTGTTTGTAAAAATGTTAAGTACTTTTAAGAGGCAAATTAAGTTTATTAGTAATGTAGGCCTACGTTTTGGCGGCTCCAATATACAAAATTGCAAGTAATTTTGTTTTCCGCTGTTGCCAAACTCACTAATGTAGATGATATGGCACAATTGAAATCATCAATTATTATTTATTAGCTGTTTCAACTTTTCCAACAATAATTCTGACTGTGGGACATTGCTGATTTTCACATACTTTATTATATTGTTTTTATACATGTTTTCGCAAACGTGTTACCCAGACGTAGTCCCCTCCCACTGTCCTGCACAACGTCATCAGTCCCAACAAATGCAGGGACTGCGCAGAGAAGGAGAAGGGGGCATGCCCACTGTTTGTTGCATCAAGAAAAAATCACGTATTGAAATTGAAATAAAAAGTCATGTTTAGGGACAAGTGGATATAATATATTAATATTTACCCCAGAGATTTTAGTTTATTTACAAAGGAGTATTGCAAAATTCTCATAGTATGAAGTCGTTTCAATTATTATATTTCGACTGATTGACTGAACTAACAACAATGTTTTTGGCTGGTATATTTATATGTTTGCGAGTGCGCGCTTATACTTTGATATCATACATACTCTGATAAACAACTGAAAACCACGTGAATTAAAAATCCACCCTCATGTTCAGTTGCACTGCTGTAGTATAAAGTTCCTATCTCTTGCTCGGTTTGGCCCCAATTAAATGACGAAATGTTTGTGAGGAAATTGCATTTGCATTGAAGAATCCAAGTGCGCTGATTTATGTTAACTAGATGTGATTATTTTAACGGCTTATAACGACAGTTAAAAGGTTCTAAATCGTGAGGGATGTTTAACGTCGATTCACTGACTTTTGCTACTTAGCGTTGTTTGTAAAAATGTTAAGTACTTTTAAGAGGCAAATTAAGTTTATAGTAATGTAGGCCTACGCTTTGGCTCGAATTACACAAAAGTGCAAGTAATTTTGTTTTCCGCTGTTGCCAATGCACTATCATAGCTCCAACAGTAATACTGGGACATTGCTGATTTCCACATACTTTATTATATGTTGTTTTTGTACATGTTTAGCGCAAATGTGTTATCCAAACGTATTCCCTTCCCCACTGTCCTGCACAAATTATATCATGCTACAATTAGTTATATCGAGTATAGGTATAACTTACCATATATATATATATATATATATATATATATATATATATATATATATATATATATATATATATATATATATATATATATATATATATATATATATATATATATATATATATATATATATATACAGTGTGTATCAAAATAATTCGAATCCAAATTTGGCGTGTAATAACGCAGAATATATTTGACAAATTCGGTTGGTTTTAACACCATTGTTAAGTTCATTTATTTATCTTTCAAATGACATGCCGTACGCGTCATTTAGTTGGAAAATGAAGGAGTATTGCTTTGACAAAAAAGTCCATAAAAATCACAATTTTCCGCCGATGGGAATTGGACATTTTTTCTTTCAAAGTTAGTCCCACAAGGCTTTGAAATGCTAATCATCACTGAAAACTAAAATGCAAATTTAACGCGAATTTCTTCTCGTTCAACATGTTGAAAGCATAGAAGCTTAAATCTCTTTAAATGAACATGAATTTATGTAAATTTTGCTACATAACAGTTTGTTGATTAATTAAATTTGCATTATCTTTTGTTTGTACGTCTCACTTCGAATTCCCATCGGCGGAAAAATTTGATTTCGAGCAACCAGTTTTAACACACGATTTCTTGGTCATTTTTGATCTTATTGATATAAGAACGATATAATCGGAAACCTAATAGGCTATTCTTTATTGCCATATAAAAATTATATGGTTTACTTTAGTATTTTATAAACAGCAGTCTATTCCAGCTAAGTCTATCGTCTATAACTATACCCAAAGCTTCCTTTTTATAAACTCGTTCAATTTGATGTCCGTTTATACTGATTTTTGGCACGTGATCTAAGTTTTTCAATCGTTGCCGAGATCCAATAATCATATATTTGGTTTTTCGTTGTTTAATGTTAGTTTATTCGCTGATAACCATTTTTGAGCATTTACTAGGTCTTTGTTAAGTTTGTATTCAATATCTATGGATAAATGCCCTTGACATGATAAAATTGTGTCATCAGCAAATAAATTAGAGTGTGTTGTTTCTAGGCAGTTTGGGAGGTCGTTTATGTAAATGAGAAATAATAGAGGTCCAAGATTTGAACCCTGAGGTACTCCACAACGAATTGTTTCAATATCAGATTTACAGTTATTTAGCATGCAAATTTGCTTTCTTTGATCTAAATACGATTGGAACCATTTGAGCGTGTGGTCGCGTATCCCATAAGCTTGCAGTTTTGACAATAGAATCTGGTGATCAATCGTATCAAATGCTTTTTTCAGGTCTAAGAAAATAACCCCATTTATTTGACCCTGGTCCATTGATTTCAACCACATTTCAATAGATTGTAGTAACGAGGTTTCGGTTGAGTGATTGCGACGGAAACCTGATTGATTTTTTACAATTATGTTGTTGTTATCCAGGAAGGTATTTAGTTGTCTACAGACTAATTTCTCAACTATTTTGGCGATATTCGAAATGACTGATATCGGTCTATAGTTTTCACATAAGGTTTTGTTTTCTGACTTATATATTGGAGTCACTTTGGCAAATTTCCAATCATCTGGAAATATTCCTGTCCTAAGAGATAGGTTAAACACTTCTAGGAGTGATTCAGTTATTGTATCGCCTGCCTGTTTTATTAGCTTAGTTGAGATCTTATCTAGACCTGTAGACTTTGCCATTTGCATATTTTGTATTTCTCTTTTCAGCTCATAGCTTGATATGCTATGAAAGTGAAATACATTTGTGACTTGGTCTATATATGACAAAGGATCAGGACTACAGCCATTGTCAGCAATGTGTATTTCTCTTTTCAGCTCATAGCTTGATATGCTATGAAAGTGAAATACATTTGTGACTTGGTCTATATATGACAAAGGATCAGGACTACAGCCATTGTCAGCAATGTTATTTGCTAGTTTGGGACCTATAGAAGTGAAGAATTTATTAAACTCGTCGACTATATCTTTATCTTGTGTTACATGTTTTCCATGGTCTACGCTAAGTTCATTAACAATTGTTAACAATTGTGGTTTTGGATTTCCTGTTAAGCAGATTATTTAATGTATTCCAACCTTCTTTACTATTTTTACTGTTTTGTAGTTTAGTGTTGTAAAATTGAACCTTAGTTGCTTTGATTCTTTTGTTAAGTTCATTTCTACAACGT